ATTTTACAATTATTTGATTGACTAATGGAATGAAGATTTTACAATTATTTGACTGACTAATGGAATGAAGATTTTACAATTATTTGACTGACTAATGGAATGAAGATTTTTACAATTATTTGACTGACTAATGGAATGAAGAGTTTTACAATTATTTGACTGACAAATTGAATGAAGATTTTTACAATTATTTGACTGACTAGTGGAATGAAGATTTTTACAATTATTTGACTGACTAGTGGAATGAAGATTTTTGCAATTATAGTCTACTAACCATATTTGTCTATTGTTTGAACCCCCCTCCCCCCAGTGGCACAGCGGTATGTCTGCGGACCTACAACGCTATAATCGGGGTTTCGATACCCTTGGTGGGCAGAGCACAGATAGCCCATTGTGAAGCTTTGTGTTTGATTACAAACAAACAAACTATTGTTTCAGTCAGAGATACTCGGGCTACTTAAAACAAAATACATATATATATATATATTCTTTTTAAAATTATTTCCGTGAATGGTACTGCCGAGGTTGTTTTTTTTTTCTCAATTATGGCATAAATTACGCGATTGTAACTGGGCATAATAACAATCAACAGGCTATAAAGAAGGTAACTTTTACCCTGACTACTGGAAATGGAGCACATATAAAATCTATCAGGAAAAGGCTTAGTTTTTTTTTTATTATTTTTTTCTGTATACACACACACGCCGTCAATATCAGCTTTTCTTACCTTATGATTTTATTTTATGATTAGGCACAAAGGACATTGGCCAAGATGTCTGTTTTAGAATTAGTTTTATTTTTTAGGCTTAGTGTATTGAAGTATATCGTTCATGGTACAGACCAAAGGTAATCTAAATAAATATAGACACTTTTCAATGGCTGTTATTATTGCCACTCCGTTGATTTTCTTTCATTCAGTTTTTATTATCTTTATTATCATATTTCTAAGAAATAAAGCATATTAAAATTTTCTATTTTACTTATTTTAATCAGAACTGCACGTTGTAATTTAAAAGGATTATAAACTACTTTCAGAGACGTGCTTTAAGTTTTCAGATCCATGTTACCTTTAATTACGTAGAAACTTTCGTGTGTCGTTACGGTCTCTACACAACTGCTTATGAAAGAGTCAAGTATTAGATCAGTCTAGCCCACAAATATGTTATTTATTTAAAATTAATAGGGTGTAATAAACATTTAAGGTTTTAGAATTCTGATGCAAAATAGCTACTTCCCCAATCGTGTTTCGTAAAAAAAGCCTCTGTATTTTTTATTTTCACGTTTTTTTTTGTTGGTGTTCTGATTCATACCGCCAATATATTCATTCCTTGTTTTGTGTTTCTTACAGATTCATACGCGAATGTCCGCTGCCGAACTGGGTCGTATTTTTCAAGTGGAGACACATGACCAAGGTAAAAAATAAAAGTGATCTAGGACCACGGAGTGCATAATTTCGATATAATCTTGATATAATTTTATTGAATCTGTGTTTAGGACGTTGATTTACTATTTATTTGAAGATTAGTCACACGAATCTCACGCATTTGTTTTGCCTCCAAACAGTTCCTGATTATGAAGTGGTTCACGTGCGTTCCATCAGCAAAAGGGAAGCCGATGATTATGAAAGTAAGCATGTTTTCTTGAAAGCGCTGGGAAGAAAGCTGCAATTGAAGTTGAATAAAAACAATCATTTCGACGAAAAACTTCGAGCTATGAAATTCATGGAAGCGAAGCAAACAAAAGATGGTTTGGTATACCGTGAAGTGGAACAGGAGGTAAGCTCTGTTGTTAAGCCTAAATGGATTTTTTTTTCCAGATCGATTTAATTAAAAACATAGGTCACAGTGTTGTTGGCTCAATAATCTTATATGGAACTGCTAAAGGACTACACAATAATCTGACTTCAACATTTTAATCGCAATCTTAGTTTTAAGGAGGTAACCTAATTAAACACTAATATCCTGTTTCTTCTCAGAGTTATTGTTTAAAAAGATTATTTGAGATAGTTTAAATGTTTGTATCACAGTATTAACTTGATAAAAGCACACGGTGATTATAAAATTATTTGAAAAACTAT